AAAAAAAAAAAAAAAAAAAAAAAAAAAAAAAAAAAAAAAAAAGAAAAATGTACAATGCCCACAATGAAAGCAACAACTCAAAAAAGTAGTAGAAAAATCTAACCTCCAGAATTGTGTATATTGATACAGTAGTATCTCCATCAATCACAACACTTTTCAGAAGCGAATTATGGCGCCTACCATAGGCTAATAACAGATGTTCAGAGGTAGGAGAGAACTGCAGAGTTACAGAAGGTATGTACTTTATAAGAATTACAAGTGCAGTTGTAATAAAATCCAAATGAACTATCACACATAAAACAGAAATAAATCCTAGCTTTTATCATTATTTAGATAGGAGTAACTTCGCAAGATAAATTAATGTTCCTTTAAATTTGAGTAAGGGAAGGGAAATTCTGAAGACGACAATTCCGTAGGTGCAAATATTATGGAATACAATTTCTTAAATTTCTGTCCATAGACTAACATGTTTAACAAGTGTTTATAGTCATTCATGCCCAATTCCAATCGCATAACTAACCTGTATTGAAGTCAAGCAATGAGCAGCTCTGATAGCCCTCGATGCTAGAACAGAACCAAATCTGTCACATGAATAAAAACAACATTAGCCCTAAAATATACAAAAGAAAAGAACAGAATAGTATGATCATGTAACTAGCATGCAACAACATAAAATCATTTTACTCACGTAGCTTCCTCAAGGGAATATATTCTCAGCTCATATATCACTGGGTGAACTGCAATAGGATGTCTAGTTGGAGAAGTTGAGGCCCCCATAAATTCATGCTGAACCTGGCCTTGTAAACCTGGATCAGTATCGGTGTTAATCTGAATACACGCCACACAAGCAGCTAAAAACCTCCCGCAAGGTGAAAAATGAGCACCCATTTCACTACAGAAGCATACACCATCCATCAGCATTTTCATGCACGCCGGAAAAGAGGCAGTAAGGAGCAATGAATCGAAGAATGAAGTAATTAGAAGTGCAGTTCGACTGCTACATATCAGCTAATTTGATGCAAACTCATTTCTCCTCCATTATTACTGCTGATTTATTTTATTTTTTTCTTTCTTTAATCAAAAGATATAAAACACTCGTTAAAGCATCATTTAAATACAATCCTCACCTACAGAGTACTACATGGGGGATTGTCAAGCGACACTTGTCCGCGTCAAGAGCAACACAAGGGTTCTTCACATCGTGAGACCATATCCTAAGCTTCACGGTGCAAGGCAACTCAGCGGCTGCCTCAGGCTGGGCCGGACCTACGAAAGCCCGAGCACTACCCTGCTCAACCGGAATACTGCCAAAGGCCGCTGCACTGCCAGGATTGCCACCAGTTGTAGCCGCCAGCCTGGTGTGAGACTGTGAAATCCGCTGACGCAAACCTGATCTTCCGGAAACTCCTGGAATAGAACTTCCATGAGGAACTTCCGGCGGAAGCACTGGAGATGGGCCGCCCACAGCACCATAAGAAGATAGGTCCTCAGCTGCCTGTTGGCCCACCTGGCTCTGACCAATAAGCCATCCTTGCAAAAATGGGAGCTCCCAATGCGTGGGGTCACCGAATGGAAAGAACTGATTGGCTGCTTCCTCGGCTTGCCTATCTATCTCCGTGGAGACATTCGCAGAAGGCTGATAGGTCGAAGAATTATCTGTTTCTCTATGTAAAGAACTATTATTGGTATTGTTATTGCTATCATCATTATTGATATTATTTTGAGGTTCTTCTCGAGCGGGAGATTGGATTGGGGATAGAACGAGTTCGTACTGTCCAGAAGGAGTTGAGTATGTGAGGAGCCGAACGGAGGTTGAGGAATCAGCTCTCTGCGGCTGGATATCCTGCTGTTGGGAGGTGGGACCCGACTCACCTCGACCGACTGAAGGGAATATTAGAAAAGGCATGGAAACAAACGGCGACTCATTTCCTGAGTTTGAATGATATGGAGGGTTGGGGTCTGCGACGTATATGGTGGGAGGGGGGTAGCGTGAGTAACCCGCGCAGGTCGCGATCGTCATTGTGGGGTCCGACGAGTTGAGATCATTAACCTGAAAACACAGTGGGAACTGTTATATTTGAGAATATGATTTCCAAATAGCAATAGTACTTACAAAGCACTTATTATGGTAGGAGAATATGACGTGTTTGGGAACTTTAAAGATATGTACATGCTAGTAATTTTACAGTTTTATACTTTAGAAATGAGGCATACTTAGTAATGGTTATAGTTAAGAAAGTTAATATCTGTACCATAAAAAGACTAAATACTCAATTCTCAAACTTGATAAGTCCTTCGGCACATAAAAGGAAAACATACTGAAAATATTAGCAACAGAAATCAATTTCTTTCTCTCAGTCCCACTTTATTGTCCTTACATTTACATCTATTTTTATCTCAGTCCCACGTTATTCTCCTCACATTCGAAATCTATTTTCATATCATCTTGTATGTGGGATGCATATGAATTTTTATGGACAAGCTTTGTTATTACAGTCAAAGCCTGTACAAATAATAATTTATCTTAAATGGGCTTGTGGACTTCACACAGATACGAGTATGTCATCCTCATAGAGATAGAGAACAATATACCTCAGCAGTTAGAAGTAATGGCGCACCATGCGGGTGGAAATGCACTGCACGAAGGGAGCGTCGTGTTCTCAGAATAATCATTGGTGACGAAGCTTCCCCTCTCCTGCTGTAGTACCATATATAGAGCTTCCAGATATGCAATATCAATAAAACTTCCATTTCCATATAATTATTTAGTCGGAAGCCAACTATTACGTGCTAAAATTTCTAACCTTGTGGCCTGAAGCTACCGCCAGAAATTCCCCTTGGGCGTGGAAAGCGATTGAAGCAATTGGACGATCTGTATATGGAATATTTGTTAAATGGAGATGATTTGCCAAAACAAGAAATAAACGAGTAAATAAAGCCAAAACAGAAAAACTAATGTTGTGTGTTATTACAAAAATCCCGTGATCCAATACAAGCTGCAGTCTTTGCATCCCACAGACGAACTTCATGGTCTAAGCTTCCGCTTGCCACAACTTCAGGATAAAGAGGATGGAACCTAACCTGTAGAAACCTCATTTAACAAGCTAGTAAATCAAGCATGAACAGCTTTATTCCTTCCTCTTTCTTAGTCCTTTTTAATACTCAGATTTTAATTAAACACATTAGATGCTTTTAAACACACTTGGATCAATACAATAAGACAGCTTACCACCCAAGGCGTCCTGCGATGACCAGTCAACACCTTTAAACATGTTCCCGTTTGACAATCAATTATCTTCACCGTGTGGTCCCCACTGCAGGTCCAATGATAATGTGAGTTCAACTATACCAAATAATTTCACATATATACAAGAATAGAGAGGGAGAGAGAGAGAGGAGAGAGAGAGAGAGAGAGAGAGAGAGAGAGAGAGAGAGAGAGAGAATAACTGGGTTGAAGCAAGTGTCTTTCCATCAGGACTAAAAGCTGCTGCAATTGTAGACCTCGGTGGAGGCTGTAAGGGACAATACTTAGCTGATAAGTGCAGTAATGACTCGGCTTCAGCCCTGATGTTAGGATTTGACGATCTAATTATTCTTGTAGTGCCATAAAATGTAAATTAACACATCACAGAGAAACAAACAGAAATGATATAAATACCACGATCGAAGTTCTTGTCTAGCATCTTTAGCTATTTCACTTTTTAAGCAACAGGAATCAACTTGGTCACCGGTCACCTTTACCCAAAATCTTTTTGGAGTTTTCTTTGTTTGAGGGGATAACTCCCTCCGAGCTAGCAATTTAAATACATTACTGCAAATAAGATTTAACAAGTTCATAAGAAGATTTACATAGTTCAGCTACATATAATTCTATCACGGAGGTTAGAAACAAGGAAGTTCCTATACATTTGACCAAAAAGGACACCAAGAAGATAAATATTCTTGTAAACTCCAAGATGTTGTCTAAATTTTACGGACACGGACATACAATAATAAACTGATCTTGCAAATCAACTCAGAATCAACTGAAGTTCATGCTCGAGAGATTGTCCAAATGTACGGTAAGTAATATCATATCGATGATCAAGGCTCTTGCAATATAATTGAAAACAGTTGCATTCCAATCTTAATAGATTATGCAAATCGACTGCAAGTACGATCTAAGTAAAAACGCGCCCTCAAATTAATTTCTGGGCAGTTTTTACATTAGCAAAACTATAAGCATACAATTAAAGATTCTGCATGGGTTAGCAATTATCTAAGGCCTTTAGCTGTTCCAACCAAAAATCACTGCCATCCATCAAGAATTGAATGAAAAAAGCTTCATATAATCTTGTTCCCAGTTTTTATTATTAATAAAAAAGAAGAAAATAACAAAAATTAATATCGAAACAAAATGTTGGATTTTCAATCTTAGCATGCAGCTCGGCACAACATATATTCAGTTTAACTGGATTCAAGCACCAAAAAATAATAATTTAGAAAACGAAGGAGAAAAGCTCGGACAAAAAAATAAAATAAAAAATAAATTCAATTCAATACAGACAAATCCCAGATCGGAAATGCTAAATTGAGGTGAGAATAGTGCGCAAGATCCAACCTTTGGCCCAAACTCATATCTTTCGCAGAATTGGGCGGCGGAGCGGCGGCGGCTGCTGGCGCTGAATTCTCCGATCTCATCGATGATGACCTCATAATGAGTTGTGAATTCCCAATTTAAACACACAATCCAATACATAAATCCATCTGGTATATCAACGGAGCTGGATTACATTCAGATACATCCTTAATTTCGGAGAAAAAAATGAAGAAAATCGGGTTCTGTAACAGAGGTCTGGATTTCAGTTGGGTTGTCCGGAAACTGCCTCTGGATTCGGAGCAATATTACGAGGACGTAAATGGGGAATGGGATCTCGGTGGTGAGGGTAAAATGGGGAGGAAAAGATTGGCAGAAGAAAGGAGAGAAGACAGTGGGGCTGGCTGGAGCGTGGGGTTATGGCTTTTTCCGGCTATTCGGACAGTGATATATTTGTTTTCTCATAAATTACGATTATTCACCTCAGGTTAAGGTTTTCTCTATACACGATAGAATCGAATGCAGGTGAATGGCATTGTGTGCGTGAAAATTGTTGTAAATTGGAACTCTTAATCTTCAACAAGCATCCATCAATCCAAGCATAGATGTGCAGTAAAGAGAACGATAAAAGAGAAGCAGAAAAGTGTATCTTATTCATCGGTATAATCACCCTTTTATAGGGTTTACAAGAGGGAAGCCCTACAACCTAATCCTACTGACTAATGGACTTCAGGCCCAATCATCTATTAGTAATGTCCATATTAATATATTTATAACACTCCCCCTTGGACATTACTACATGCCTCATTAAAAACCTTGCTAATAAAAACCCAACTGGGGAAAAACAAATTAGTCAAGGGAAAAAGAGTACATGATTTATAAAAATTCATGTGTTTTACTAGCTGCCTCGTCAAAAACCTTTACTAATAAACCCATTGGGAAAAACTTAGTTAAAGGGGAAAAAGAGTACAGCATTTGGTCTTCAGGACCTAATCTTCGGGATTATTTTGAGTTTTTCCCTCCCCCTGAAGACAACAGTCTTCCCAGTTTACGCATACCAATACCATAAATGTATTTCTCAAAAGTAGATGTAGGAAGGGATTTGGTGAAGAGGTCTGCCAAGTTCTCGCTAGACCTCACTTTTTGTACAATAATCTCACCGCTCTTCTGGAGCTCGTGTGGGTAAAAGAATTTTGGAGCAATATGTTTTGTCATGCTCCCTTTGACATACCCACTACTCATTTGTAAAACACAAGCTGCATTGTCCTCATAAAGGACAGTGGGGGTTATATCATTTGTAATTCCACATGATCCACGAATATGTTGGATTAAAGATCTTAACCATACACATTCGCGTGAAGTCTCGTATAAAGCGATTATTTCTGAATGGTTTGAAGATGTAGTAACCATGGACTGCTTGACCGACTTCCAAGAGATTGCAGTACCACCACAAAGAAAAACATAACCAGTCTGTGATCTAGCATTATGGGGATCAGACATATAACCAGCATCCGAATAGCCTACCAATGTCATATCTTGATTTTTCTTATAAAGTAAACCAAGATCTTGTGAACCTTGAAGATACCTAAAAATATGTTTAATACCATTCCAGTGTCTCCTCGTAGGAGAAGCACTAAACCTTGCTAGCAAGTTTACCGCAAATGCAATATCAGGCCTGGTGCAATTTGCAAGATAAAGTAACGCGCCAATGGCGCTCAAGTAAGGAACTTCTGGTCCTAAATTTTCTTCGGTATCTTCTTTAGGTCTAAATGGGTCCTTATCCGCTTCAAGGGATCGGACAACCATTGGTGTGCTAAGTGGATGAGATTTATCCATGTAGAATTTTTCTAAAACCTTCTTCAAGTAGGTTGACTGGTGTACAAATATTCCTTCAGGGAGATGCTCGATCTGCAGGCCGAGACAATATTTGGTTTTACCCAAATCTTTCATTTCAAACTCCGTCTTTAGGCATGAGCTAGCTTTATCAAGCTCTTCCCGTGTGCCAATTATATTTATGTCATCGACATAAACTGAAATGATACAAAAGCCATTCGTTGACTTCTTTATAAACACACAAGGGCACACATCGTTATTCACATAATTATTTTTCAACAAAAATTCACTCAGCCGGTTGTACCACATTCTACCCGACTGCTTTAAGCCATATAATGACTTTTGTAGTTTAATGCTATACATGTTGCGCGTTTCATTTTCCCTTATTTCGGGAACCTTTAATCCTTCAGGGATTTTCATATATATATTTGTGTCTAATGACCCATATAAATATGCGGTCACGACATCCATTAACTGCATATCTAAATTCATAGTTACTGCCAGAGATATCAAATAGCGGAACGTTATTCCATCCATTACAGGAGAATATGTTTGATCAAAATCAATTCCGGGTCTCTGCGAAAACCCTTGAGCAACTAATCTCGCTTTGTATCTCACCACATCATTATTTTCATTTCTCTTTCGCACGAACACCCATTTATATCCTACTGGGATAACATTTTGAGGTGTACGCGCAATAGAGCCAAAAACTTTTCGTTTATTTAGCGAGTCTAGTTCAGCCTCAATTGCTTCTTTCCATCTTACCCAATCGGAGCGCTTCCGGCACTCTAAAATTGATTTTGGTTCTGGATCCAGATTATTAGAGATGGTAAAAGCAACTATAGAGGCAAATGTGTCGTCGACGACTATGTTACTTCTATTATAAGTTTCTCCTGTATCAACAAAATTCGTAGCTACTTCAATATTTACATCAACCAGATCTTCATCATTTCCCAATATATTTTGATCTGGATGTTCCGCAATCCTAGTATTTTTATCATTTGTTGCACGTGCATTTAAACTAGGATTTTCGCCTTCTGGACGATTCTCTTCTGGAGATTTCGGGAGTGATTCAATATTCTTATTAGATTTCGTTTTCCGCGGATTATTGTCTTTTGTACCAACGGGTCTACCACGCTTCTGGCGTGGAGCATCTGCAGGATTATTAGATTTTATGGGGACTTCCACTCGTTGTGGAGCATTTATTGAAGGTACATGAGATTTGGTCACTCCTTTATGATCAGTAAATGCATCTGGCAGATTATTTGCTAAATATTGCAAATTAATTATATTTTGAACTTCAAGTTCAGTTTGATTAGTGCGTGGATCTAAATATTGTAGATTTTCTACATTCCAAGAAATTTCTCGGCATTTATTTAAGTTTGGGCTTTTATCTCCCCCTAATGCCGGAAAATTCTCTTCATCGAATATGCAGTCAGCGTACCTAGCTGTAAATTGATCCCCAGTCATGGGCTCTAGGTATTTGAGAATAGACGGAGATTCATAGCCAATATATATACCTAGCTTTCTATGAGGGCCCATAGAGGTACGCTGTGGTGGTGAGATGGGAACATAGACTGCACAACCAAATACTCGCAGATGGGAAATGTTAGGTTCGTTACCACGCACTAGTTGTATAGGGGAGTAATCATGATATGCAGTAGGTCGGATTTGAATTAGGGCAGCAGCATGTAAAATTGCATGTCCCCAACATGAAATTGGTAAGTTGGAATTTTGTAACAATGGTCTAGCAATTAATTTGATGCGCTTAATGAGTGATTCGGCTAGACCATTTTGTGTGTGGACATAAGGTACCGGATGCTCCACTTTGATGCCCAGTGACATACAGTAATCATCAAAAGCTTTCGAAGTAAATTCACCGGCATTATCCATTCTAATAGTTTTAATTTGATAATCAGGAAATTGAGCTCTTAATTCAATAATTTTAGCAAGGAGCTTTGGAAAAGCCTGATTTCTAGTGGACAATAAACACACATATGTCCATCGAGTGGAAGCATCTATCAATACCATAAAATATCGAAAAGGTCCCGAAATGGGATGAATAGGGCCACATATATCACCTTGAATCCTATGAAGGAACGAAGGAGATTCAATTCCAACTTTAGTACGTGAAGGTTTCAATATTAGTTTTCCCTTTGCACAAGCATCACAAATAAATTCATTAAAAGAAGGGAGTTTGCTGCTTGATATGCTATGCCCAATAGAGTTAGAAATAATCCGACGCATCATACTAAGCCCAGGATGACCCAATCGCTCATGCCATAATTTAAATGAATTTGGGTCTTTAAATTTTAAGCTCAATGCAACATGATTAATAGAAGGTCGAATGTAAGTATGGTACAAGCCTGAGGAGAAAGAGGGAAGTTCTTCGACAATTTTCTTTTGACTTCCTTGTGAATGAGTCATTAGAAGATACTCTATATTGTTTTCAGTCTTAGTTTCAATATGAAAACCATTAGATCGAATATCTTTAAAACTAAGGAGTGTTCTTTGTGATTCAGGGTACAAAAGCGCATTGTTAATTATTAATTCGGTACCCTTAGGAAGAGTGAGTAAAGCTCTGCCGGAGCCTACTATCAATATTTTATCATGAGCAATTGTAGAAACACTTCCTTTCTTTTCATTTAAAGTTTGAAAAAATTTTCTATCTTTCAAAATAGTATGCGTAGTAGCACTGTCGACTAGACATAAAACGCCCTCTTTCTCCATATAATGCAAACGAATGAATGGTTGCGGTACACTAAAAGAAAAGTAAAACAATGTAAGCAAAACAAAGCAATCACGAAGTCCCAATCAAAACATAACGTCTGAAAACATACCAATAACAAAAACAAACCACAAATGTCTGGCGAAGCAAAAGAAATCAGAAATGTCTAATAGCAAGAAACAAACCACGAAATAAAGATATCCAGTTCTCAGATAGAATGCATATTAATCACACATCATCACCATAGTCCTCGAGCTCAAGCTTCAATAAATCATCATCATCAGCATTGAAAGCTAAATTTGCTTCAGGCAAACTAGCATGATGTGATTCCCCTTGAGGAGCCTTTCCTTTTTTATCCTTGAGCATTCTTTGATAGGCCTCGACTAGATGCCGAGGAGTACGACATGTGCGGGACCAATGATTATCGCATCCACATCGAAAGCAAACCTGCTTCTGTTCTTTAGGTTGTGGATGTGAATCACGTCGATTGGAACGATCCACCTCAATGTTCAAGTTCTCGCTACGACCACCCGGGACGTTATCACCATGACCTCGCCC